TGGCTCAGGTTGTAGGGAATGAGGGCAAAATGGAAAGGAACAAAACAAATGAAGAACACAGCAATGATGATGAAAACTTTGACATTAACCTTTTTCCTGGGGACTTTGCCTACACCCCTTGTTCTGACGTAGGACTTATACAGTTCTTTTGTAATGAGTGTGTAGCATACAATGACGATTAAGAAATTAATCCAGAAAATGACTTGACAGATATAATTGACGATTTCATGCCATACCAGGCCAAATTCTGATTTAAGGAAAGAACATTTCTGTACATTCTTGTCTCTTGGCCTCCTGTTAGTCAGAATCATATTAGGTAAAGAAAGTAAGAACATGAATGCCCAGATGACAACAGAGAGAATCTTGGCCCCTAGGAGATTTTTTGTGTTGGATGTTTTAAATGGCCTGGTGGTTTTTTGGTAGCGATCGATGGTAATCAGCCCTAAGAATGAGATGCTGATATACATTGTAAAATAAAATATGACGGAGGTGACTTGGCATACGAAGGTCCTCAGCGGTCCTGTTCCCAGTTTGGCATCACTGAGGATTTTGAATGGAAAAGTCAGAATCATGAGAAGATCGGAGATGACTGTGTTTTTAAGAAAGATAATAAAGTTAGATTTATTGTGGATTTGAAAGAAAATCCTCATTGCTAGGCTGTTCGTGATGAGTCCAATGAAGAACAGGACTGTATAGAGCAGCGGGAAGAGGACCTGAGTGATTTTGTGGTCTCTGGTGCATAGGCTGCTGTTCCTGGACACAGAGGTGAGGTTGCCGAGGGCTTCCATTTCTCTGTGGCTACCTAGAGGAAGAGGGATGAGATGGTTATTTCCAGTTTTAGGTAGCTGACGTTGCTGTTATTTCAGTGTAGATTTTTGGACACGGACTTTTCTAAAAATTGAGCTTTTTGATCTTTATTGTAGCAAGTAGCGGGAACACAGAAAAACAGAATCTCAGACTATTTCATCCATGCAAATATTGCATCTCTAGCAAAGTAATATGGTCTGAAGTACATGGTGGGGAAACTGTGAATGCATGTGTTTCTCATGTGTTGAGTGTTTGCCTCTGACAGCCCATGTTGCTCTTAGTCAAAGCTAACCTGTATTTCTATATAACTGCTGGAAGAGATCTGCACTGTCTTACTCATTTCCAGCTTCATTCCATGCCTTTTTAGCTTTTAGTTTCTATTCATGCTCACTATTCCTACACCATCCTGTCCTTATTCTCATAGGGTTTCGTTTACTCTAGTCCCATCCAAGGCTTTGAAGGACAAATGAGTAATGACTACCTGTTGGAATTTTAAGGTGAACAAAATAGAATGAAAGTAGTATAAAATCACTGTTGGGAAATGTATTAAATAAATACATATGGAATCTGGAAAAAAAGGCCATAATTTTCCTCTATAGTTGGAAGATATTCCTGTCTTTACATTGGTCAGTCTGCCAGTCAAAAATTGATCTCATAGACACTCATTACTTAGCTCCAAATATCTTAAGTTAGGTAGATCTCATTTCACTCCTTGTTCAGTATTTTCAAAGTTTTTACATACATTTACTTAAATATCACTCAGTGTAAATTTTCAAATAGTAAAAAATAAGGAAATGGCCGATGTATATATGGTTATCAGAACAACCAGGACATACTTTCTAGATTTATGGAGTCAATAATGGTAGTTAAAAAGAAGTATCAAAACCACGTTGTATCTGATTTGCTAGGTTATTACTGTAGTAGGCTGCTCTGAATAAAATTATCAGTTGACTTAAATATACCATCTGGCATTTATGTCTTGATATTTGAAATGAAATTTGTAATCTTTTTATTTCATCAGACATATTAAAGTGATTCTACATAAAATATTATTCCTCATTTTCAGACACAGTAATATTGAAGTACAAATATCTACACTATAAGAAAACACCTTTCTTGTTAAAAGATTAAAATGACAATTAAAGGTAGCACTACATTCCCCCAAAATGTCAATGGAATTCTTTTTATCCATCCTTTAAAAAAAAATGAAAGTAAAACAATGAAGAACCATGTTCCCACAAGTATGGCTTCACTTTTCAACACATCCTTAGCTGTTTAACTCTTTAAAAAAAAAATTGAAACCCAGTATTTTATTGACATGAGATCACTGGAAATTCTGCTTTGTGAATGTTCATTTACATAGACCGAAAGTAATTTAGCAAATATTCTTGCATTGAGAATTTTAGCTCTGTTTATATTTAAATCTCATTTTATAGTCAAGGCAAAATAAGAAAATCCATTGATATTTTATTTTCATGCTTTGTAATTTTTTTTAAATGAAGAGCTTAATCAACAGTTGTCTCTTACACTATTAGCATGGCTCCTATGATCATTTTCATTCCATCCTTGCACTTGCATTGATATTAATTGTCACTTATGGTTTTCAATGAAAAAAACCTTGGAAAAATCCATATACTCATCATAGTGTAAGCACACATATTTGTCAAATCCTTGTAGATATAACATTACCTGGTTACTCTGTTGATTCTGAAGGGTGAATGTATCCAGTAAATAGGAATTAATGCAAACTGCAGAGTGGCATCTGGTATTTTCCTTTAAATGCCTTAGTCTAGTTGCCAAACCTCTTTGTGATAGAGAACTTGCTGAGTTTTCATCAGTAAAGTCTTGAGTGTTCTAGAGAGAAATAGTGGGAAAGAGAGAGAAAGAGCTTCACAATCGCGATTACCTTCGAACACTGTGGACTGAAAGCTATACAGACACTGAATTTCCGTCTGTCTGCTTTTAGGACTTCTGCTTTTATTTCCTGGGAGATGTAGGGTGAGGATAGCTGAGAAATCATCTTTTAAAAGGCAATTTAAAATCCTGTGGCTCTTTACTGAAAACTGCCGTAAGGTCGATGACTTATAACTTGGACTTCTTTGGTTATTTTCCATACAAATGATAAATCCAAGTTTAGGTGAAGCCTCTAAAGTCCGCTTCCTGGAGAGGGCTGCAGGCTTGCTTTCTCAGATGGTTATTTACCTGGAAACATACTGTGCTCGATATTGATGATACATTACTTTTCTACAGGTAATTACATTACCTTAAAATGTGTGCTGTTTTTAGGGATGTTAAGTCTCTTGCCTTTTGTTTTTTCCTTGGTTAATAATGTCATTATTATAAAGTCTGTGTTTGATTAACTTCTTTGTA